GGAAACTACCGAGAAGTTTGGAATCTCGATCCCGATGCTTAGGAAGTGATTTTTAGCCGGGCTTATTGCTCAAAGTGCAATTGCCGGCTTATGTGATCCTGTTCAAGGCAGAATGTTGACCCCATAGTCGTCATTTTAAAGTTACGTGCAAAAATATAGTTCTTACTCTCAATCGCTTTTGAGATCATACAAACGCTAAATAAAGCAACAAAAATAAAACGAAGTTTTATCTATATAAAATAAACATTAGTTGTAATGACTTTGAAAACTTTATAAGTCAAAGAACATAGTTCATTAGCGTAAGGATTTTTGATAATCAGTGTAACCGTAGTTCTCAATAAATACTAGGTAAAGCAGGAGAGGGAACCAGACTGGCCTGTTTATTTACATTCAGCTGCGGTACCAGATTAATTCTGATTCTGACAAAAGCGGACCGTGGTATTAGGATTGAAAAACTTACTGTCAGTGTCTTATCATTTATATTGATAGTTTTAAAATCAGAATATAAACGTGATTCATGTAAGAATTCCATTCTACTCGATCTGTAAATGAGCCCGGCTCTCTGTACTTTTGAGTACTTTGATTTTTTAATTGTTTTGTTTTCTTCTTTCCTTCTTTTTCTTGCATGATAGGCAGAACATGTGTAAGTTTATGATAGTACATAACTGCGCTCGCCCAAGCGGTCACACCGTAAAACATATTATATAGACGTTTTTATGATATTTTGCAGTGCAAGAGTTACCTCCCGTGGCATCAGTAAATCTGCTAAACGCCTTACTATCGGAATCCTAGTTTAAAAAAATGAGTCGATTCACCAAAGAAAATTGTTAAACAAAAAATAAGTACTTTTTTTTTCAAAATAGAACTCATTTACGCCTGCAAACGTAATAGCGAGCGCAGCGAGCGTCACTGCGAGCTCTTAAAGCAACGCCTGTGCGAAGAGAAAATTCGGACTTCTGCAAATTCATTCAATAGAATTTTTTGATGGCGTAATTTCGACCCACAGTGCATCACTTGTTTTAGTTACGTTCTCGCGAGAATAACGGCAAATGTTTAACAAAAAGTTTAATTGCCTTTATTTAATGGATATATATTCAAGATACAAATGTAAAAAGAAAACGAAAAAATCTTCATTAACTATTAGCACATGCACTGTTCAGGCTTTTTAATTCTTGGTATTGCATACATACGACGTCATGTGACGTCAGAGTCTAGATGCACCAAATGTCACGTGTGGTTTGACGAGCTCGATCTAAATCAAAACAATAGAAGAGTTTGTGCTCGCTCTATCGGTCTCACCGTCAACATATTTGGGCTGTATTATTCAGGATAAATCCACGTTTCCACTGATGTATCAGTGACGTCATATACCTGACTCATACTGAGTCACAATTAAATACATGTACTTATAAGACTTTCAGGAAAGTTTGTAAATTCTTTGCGTAAAAAAGAAAATAAAAATAGTCAAAAATAAGTAATTTCCCCTTTTCTGTTCAATTACTCTTCACAGTGCAATATCCAAAATGTTAAATAACTTTTTTAAAAAAATATTTTATACATTTTTAATGCTAGGATATGCGCAAAAACAATTTAAAATTTTTTTATAGTGCTCTTATTTTACACTTTTTATGTAATTTGGATGTGAAAGTTTTTTTTTCTGATAATCAAGGAATAGTAAACATTTTAGATTTACGAAAGATTTAATTTAACGAAGATGAGATGTTTACTTTATGATATTTGTAAAATGCTAGGATATGCGCAAAAACAATTTTAAAATTTTTATAGTGCTCTTATTTTACATTTTTTATGTAATTTGGATGTGAAAGGTTTTTTTTCTTCCGATAATCAAGGAATCGTGAACATTTTAGATTAACGCAAGATTTAATTTAACGAAATTGAGATTTTTACTTCATGATATTTGTAAAATCTTTAGTAAATTTATCTATGCAGTCAAATAAAAATAAACAAGCAGCGGTAGCTTACAAGTAAAAATATATGACAAAAAACCCTGAAAAATATAAGTTACAATAATATTTATTGCGGAAGATTAGTGCTGAACTCCCCACTCCAATTTGAAACTAAAACAGAGGATGGTTCAGTGAAACGTTTCTGTTTTTATTTGAATTTTTTTATATTTGGAGATCGAAATAATTACATACTCACGTTTAATATGGAATTGAAATATGTGGCTATGTTGTCCAACTCTAAAGTGTTTTTATATTCATGAAACCTGTTTTTGAAAAAATGATGTCATGATGCCCCCCCCCCCCCACCCCCCCACCCCCCCCCCCCCCTTTGCATTTTGCTTGTGATTAATGGGCTCTTAAATAATGATGTACATGAAAGAACCTCTTTTATTTAGATAAAATAAAATTTTGTAAATGAGAAATATATAGATGAAAAGGATTAACAGATGACAGGTTGAAAAAACTTGGATGAACCCGAGACTATACACATAAAAATATTTTCTGTATTTACACTGTAGGTACGTGCGCCACTAATAGAATTTAACTCCTTATTAATTCCCGAGGAAACATTAATAAAAGAAAAAAAATTACTTCGAAAAAAGATTGAAGCTGTCTTCTATGAGTTGCAACATAATGCATGAATAAACACTTCAATATCGAGTATCAAGGAATCAAAGATACACTGTACATAATCATCACTGTAATCATGTACGTAAAAGACATGAGGAATATAAATAATTATATATATTTGAATATATGGACAAAATAATTTGAAACATTTTACTGACTGAAAAGAAACAGATAGGCAAATTATTTCTCTGGTAAATTAAAATGAAGAACCAATTTTAGAAAATATTCCTAAAAACCATATCCGATTGAAATAAAACCGACCCCGATCGAAAATAATTCAAAATTTATAAAGTTGTCAAACTAAAGGCAAGTGCCAACTATAAGACATGGATGAAAATAAATAAAGTAAATTTTGAACTATATAATAACAAAAGACCCAAATTTAACGATACAATTATAGTATTTTCATCTTCATATAATTCCGATCGCGATCGGTTTAATTTGGGAAAAATCATAGATAATAGGTGAATTTGAATCCTTTTATTTCCCTCAAAATACCTGTTCCCCCCAATTTTATGAAGTGACTCAAAGGTTTGTACTTTGTATTCGTATTAACATGAGGACAATCTTCTGTCATAGTAATGTATTGGATTTTATAACGTATGAAAAATCGGATATATACTGATTTCAAAAAATCACTTGCTAAACTCAAGTTTCATTCACATAACTTTTTTTCTAAAGAAATATAATTTGGAGTCTTATTCATAAAGAAATAAAAGAGAAGAGTTTATGCTATAAATAATATTGATAAACACACCATGCTTTTAAGTATTTGTTACATATAAAAGAAAAAAAAGTTTGTTTTTTTTTTTTTTTACACTCATGTTGACCTTTTTGCACTTAAAATTAGACATTCACCAAAAATAGGACTAGAGGACCACTAAAAAAAATTGATGTTGCCATGTATTAACACTTACTCTAATAAGTCTACACGCAAAAAATAATAAAAATCCATGACATGCGATGTGCAACCTATTGCCTGGTTTTTCGGTGGACAGCCTCTTAAGGCGTAATAGCAATACACTCTTCTTGCATTCAGCAGATCAATGGAGGGATTTTGGTGAAACTTTTAAAATGAGGGAAGGAATTCATGTATATCGACTTTGTAACGCGAGATAACTCATACGTATTATGGAGAGATAACTCCTGTCTGCGGTACTAGCACATTTATACGACCTAAAACATTTTCACCACCTTTCACAATAAATCATGCGGAATACACAATAGAAAAATAAGCAAATGAAAATCCTGTTTAATTTGTATTAATATTTAAAGAAGTTTAATTTTACAACATTTAAAACGAAATCGAGGGAGATAAACTGACTGATACTTTAACTGACATTTAGATTTGTCAAAAAAAATAGATTACAATTGGCGTCGAAACAACGGGGGCTAGCGGAATTAGGGGGGGGGGGGTCCCATACTTTTTTTCAAACGATAGAATTCATATAGATAATAAACATTGGGACGTATGTATACACCCCCCCCCCCCCCACACACACACACATATACACTTTCAACACACATGTTGCAATTTAGTTAAAGTTGAAGAATGGTAAGTCGTAGAGTTTGAAAGACAAAAAAATGGCCATGAAAGAACTTCAATCTCCCAAAACCCAATTCTCTCCTTTATCTAAGTAGAAAAAATGACATCCTTTATTTTTAGCCGGGCTTATTGCTCAAAGAGCAATTGCCGGCTTATGTGATCCTGTTCAAGGCAGGATGTTGACCCCATAGTCGCCATTTTAAAGCTACGTGCAAAAATATAGTTCTTACTCTCAACCGCTTTTGAGATAATACAAACGCTAAATAAAGCAACAAAAATAAAACGAAGTTTATCTATATATAATAAACATTAGTAGTAATGAATTTGAAAACATCATAAGTCAAAGAACGTAGTTCATTAGCATAAGGATTTTTGATAATCAGTGTAACCGTAGTTCTCTACACATACGAGGTAAAGCAGGAGAGGGAACCAGACTGACATGTTTGTTTACATTCAGCTGCGGTACCATATTAATTCTGATTCTGACAAAATCGGACCGTGGTATTAGGATTGAAAAACTCACTGTCAGTGTTTTATCATTTATATTGAAAGTTTTGAAATAATTTTTTCATCAGAAAATAAACGTGATTCATGCAAGAAATCCATTCTACTCTGTAAATGAGCCCGGCTCTCTGTACTTCTGAGTACTTTAATTAAATTGATGTCTACACAAAGTTACAGGTAGATTTAGGTACAGTAATATTTATTCAGATTACTGAACAGATTAATCACTTTTCTATGCAAGGTCTTGAGTAACAAATATAATAAACTGAGCTAATATAAATTTATAGGTCCGAATTCACAGAAATAACTAAAGAACTAATTTTATTTTTTTCTAGAAAATCAAACTTTCTTACTTGGTTTTCCATAGGTTTTGTTGTCGATGATATAAAGGTCCCAGTGTGGATGGAGGCCTATACAGGATCTCACGATGTCAGGTCTCAAGTCACTCCGGAGCCATGTCACGTGATCTACACTGTCCTGTGATCTTCCTCTGTAATGTACAGCCTCCCCTTCTCTTCGTAGTACCGTTAGAAATTCTTCTCGTTCATCTTTACTGCTCTTGATTTTATTTTCTGGGATATTTACTGTAGAAAAAAATATACCGTTTATAATAAACATTTACACATTAACATTATGAAAATATACATGTAAAGGTAGAGATACATTCAAATTATAGATTTATTAAACATGTTCGATCAGTTACTTGTATTATAATATGTTAATCTAGTAGCATTAAATTGTAATCGATGAAGCTACTACAAAAGCAACTACAAAAAAGAAAGTGAATTAAATGTATAAATGTTTCTACTGATAACTTTTTAACTCTTTAAAATGTAATCCAATTATTCAAATAAAATTCTGGAAGAAAAAATAGAACAATCCAATTATGTTACTCTGACTTACATAGCTGGTGTATCTCATCATATATTCTCGTGTCCTCCATGGTGACGTGAGTCAGTATGTTCATCTGTAGACGGTGTATCAGTAAGTGACCCCAGACAGGACTAGTGACACACTTCTCTCCAGGTTTACTGTTGTATCTGTCTGATCTCAGGTACACACTGGCTGTGTTATAACTACAGCAAATGAATGGCATACCACTGTCTATTGATGCTATCCTATACATTGTCTCATCCTTTGTGTCCTTTGTTATCTTGTCCTGATCTTCCCAGAGGTTATCATGTGACGTCAGTCTGTTCAGAGTCTGCTGTGCTTCCGCACGTGTTACAGGATTCTTTTTACGCCACACTATCCGTTGTATCGCATTAAGTATGTCCAGCCACTCTGTGTCAGTGAAGTCAGGAGGACCGGAGTCAGAACACAGAAAACAGTATAACACTGACACCTCGTCATCAGTCAGTGTGGAAAACTGTTCTGCAAAGTATAGTGCACATATCATTAGTAACACTGTAAATAAATAATGAAGCATGCATATTATAGTTTAAATGACCTCCATAATTTGAGTAATTTTTTCATTTATTTTTCACCATTTTTATTTCTTTTCATTTATCTCCATTTAACTTTCTTATCTAGTATGATACATGTAGCAATGTTTCAAAAAGCAAAATTGTCCTATATAGAATAAAATCTGATTGCAAGATTAGTAGAGAAGTTTTTTTTTTATATCAAAACACATGTAACGACCAGCAAAATTTTTGATACTGTTTAGAACTTTTTCAAAAAGAATATTTCCTTATTTTTATTTATAGTATTGCAATGGCTTAAGGAAGATAAGTGGAAAATTCAAATGAAAATATACATAAAGTAAATAAAGGATACTTTTTTAAAAGAGAAAATTGAAGATTGCTTATTCGATACCTACATGTACATGCATATTATCTTTTCGCAAGTTTAGTTTTATTGTAAAACTAAAAGAAAAATAAAAAAAATAATATTGGAATTTCTGCCTTTTTATTATTCTAAAAAAATGGATTAAATATATATTGAACATATATATTGAATCAAATAAAAAAAAATGCCAAAATGGATATAAAGATGTCAATTGCTTGATATTTTATCATATGTTAAGAAGTATTTTTTAGTCCCCTTCCGGTGAAATCGGACAACATTATAGGTTTCTTCTGCGTCTGTCCGTCTGTCCGTCTGTATGTCCGTCCGTTCATCAGTGGAGCTGTCCCTGTCCGTCTGTCAGTCTGTCCTACCTGGGTTTCCGCACTTTTTTCTAAACGCTGGCAGATATTGATCTGATATTTGGTAAGTGGGTGTGTCTTGATGAGTTACAGATAAAGTCTGAATACCGTTCCGCTTTAATGATTTTTTACGGAATTACGTCCTTTTCTGAACTTTTTCCCCCTAAACGCTTGCAGATATTGTGCTAATGTTTATCATGAGACTTAACCTTAATTAGTTATAGAGTAAATTTGCATTTCGTTCTGATTAATTGATTTTTGAAAGAATTATGTTAATTTTATTATTTTTTTATAATTAGGTTCATTATTGGGTTTGTGATGCACTAAATTTTATGTCGTGATGCATTAATTCATTTTGTGAACGAGATTGTCATGATTTGAAACTTGCTGTATAGCTTTTACCTTACTTATAGATCAAGTTTTCATTTCTTTCTGCCTCATTTAATTTGGAAGGAATTATCATGGTATTTTTTTTTTGTTTAATAATTGGGTTCACAATATTGTTCGTGATGCACTAACTTGTAATATGTCGTGATGCACCGCTTGAATTAATGTTCGAAACGATTTTATGTTGAGATTGAAACTTGCTTGATATCTTAATAGTGACAAATAAAGATCAAGTTTGATTTTGGGGTATAAAATTGTTGATAAACCACGTAAAAAAACTATCCTGATCAAAACATGTGTGTGTGTCAAATGGCATTCAAAGACGTCGATCACGAGTCTTTCTTTGTAAGGAAGATCCAAGACATTTTATTCATATTCAAGTAATAACTAAAATGTCCATATTTAAGTAATTATATTTTAAACACAGCCTCAAATAAAATGACACCTGATAGAGAAAAGGGGAACCCGGTAGCGGATATGTATTGCTTATGCAATACTCTTAGAGTGCTTGTTTTTTTTAATCTTTATCACAGTGTAATGATGCTTTGATGAGTTTAAACAAGCAGACTTCATAACTTTTTTTTTGTATCACATGCTAATTACTTTCATTTTGTAAATAAAATAAATAATATAAAAAAAGATCTTAAGGAATTTGAACCCGAGACCTCTCAAATGTTAAGCGAGCGTCATACCCTTGACCACATTTCCTTAAAAGTAATGCGAATTGAATGCAAAACATGAAGTCACATACATGTATACATTCATGTTTGATATTGTCAAAATTTTCAACAAGACCTGCATGCAAGCTTATGAAGCTATATAAGGACTAATGTATCATTTAAGACGAACTTACGACACATTAATCTTGAGTTAGGCCATCAAAGCTATCCTAGTCTTGTCTTAGGGGACCTCTTAATCTTAGTCCCTGTTTTAAGATGACCGCGAGCTTGTTCTAAGACACATTTTAAGTGATTTTAAGAAGCCATTGCACCAAGAAAACAACCAAGAATTATTTTTCTTTCATAAAGAAATCAAATGTTTGTTGTAAAGTACTAATTTCTTTGATTAACTTAATCAACTAATAAACAATGGTCTGTTCGAAGCAATTTCGGTTGAAAGGGGGGAGAGGGGGGGCAGCCATACATTTTCAGTTGGGGGGCACTATCAACTACCAAATTTTCCTTGACAAAAGGCCCGTGGGCCAAATTGCTCACCTGACTACATGTATATATGGACATACTATTCTTTACAAGATTTCCTCTTTTTAATAACTATTGTGACCCCGTCCTACCCCCCCCCCCTTCTCCGGGATCATAATTTGGTGAATGTAAAATCTACACTACTCCAGAATTCTTCAACATAAGTTTCAGCTTTTCTGGTCCAATCTTTCTTAAGAAGATTATTTCATGAACTCACACTATTTTCTTATCTTGATTATCTCCCCTTGTTGAGGGACTAGACCCATCATTTTTACAATTTAAATACCTCCCAGGGATGCTTCGTACCAAGTTTGGTTAAAATTAATCCTGTGGAATAGAGAAGTTGAAATGTTTACAATGTTTATAGACGGACGGACATACAGACAGCAGGTGATCAGAAAAGCTCTCTTGAGCTATCAGCTCAGGTTAGCTAAAAATGTCATTTGACGTTTTATTGAAGGTGCACAAGAATAAAGTTACTGTGGCTCTGTTTTCTATAGCAATGTACATAATGGCAAATTATCGGATGGCATCACCCTTCCAAGTTTCTATGGTCATGTATGAATTTTCAGATTAAATATTGAAGAAAATTAATCAATTTTAGCCCTGTCGAAAGTTAAAAATATATATTATCAGTAATTATCATGTAAACAAGGGGAAAAGGGTGGGCTACAATGTAGGAGGATATAGTCATAGCCTAGTACCTTTAAAATACGTAAAATACAAGGGCACATGTACATGTCCTTAACGCAAACAAAAATTTGATACATGGATTGATATATATTTTGACGAGTTCGAAATCACATAAATAATTAATCCCTGAAATATGAAGAAATCGTAGGTTTTCCTTGGTGCTTAGATTTGATAATATGCTTTACTACATGTATCTATATAATTCCATACAAAATCTTGCACAAATTTTAACCTAATGCGAAAATCTTATAAAATTCCCGCACTATACTTGGTAAAAAATATTCAGATTATTAATTTTATTGTAAATCAATGAGAAATATTGCTGATTTCAGAAAAAATAGTTTGTTCGTGATATTTATCCTTAATACCTGTATATTTCAATTTCTGATTTTCTTTTCTAAGATATCTCTTTGAAAGCAAGAGGAGTAGGTTTCTTGATATTCTGCCGGAACGTAAATTAGGAAGGTCTATAGGTCAGGAGCTAAGGAGGCCTTATATGCAGGCAAATCTCGCGCACATCTGTCCCTGAGTCTGACGCTTATGTGGCCAAATACAATGTATGCATGCAAATCTCGTGCTCCTATCTTTGTGTTTGAAATCAGTGGGCGAGAACTATTTAAACTGGCATGTGCATGGGGGCCCATGTCTTATTTGAATCTAAGTCTTCATTTTAAAAAAAAGTTGAAAAAAAGGAAAATCTTATGGTAAATGAAAAGCATGTTTTAACATTCTATATTATTTTCATGCTCACAATGACAAAAAATTCATTTGTTAAATTAAAGGTGGAGGTCTAGGTTTCTCAAAGTCACACTGGAAATCGATTTGCGTCTGCATTAATTCCTTTTTTCACTTGTTATACTTTCGGCGAATACAATAGTTTGGTGGATACCCTGGCCAAAACACTTGATCACTAGTATAGATACAATGTACATGTATGTAAAGAAAGTTTAGTTTATTTAAATGCTTAAGAGACGCTGCTCGTTTTCCTTTCCCTTGATGCGCTGGTGTTCTACACCAAACAAAACCCACATTTTATTAAACGTATACCGGGCATTTTTCTTGTTAATAACAAATCTTTAAAGTTTATAATCTGTTGTTCATAAGAACATTTTTATCATTATTCACTCCATTCACATTATGATATAGATTGACCCGAATTCGAAACACGTGTTCCAAGTAGAATGTTTAAGAAATAAACAACGTTATTTAGTGTACATGGCGTTATGAATAGCAATTGCTCTGCTGGCATATTCCATGATGCGTGCTAGCGCATCATGGAAAATATGCCAGCAGAGTTTTTGCTATTCATAATGCCATGTTTACTAAATAATCGTTGTTTATTACTTGTATTTGCATTCTTTGATGTTGTCAAGAATATCAGAGGAAATCCTGGCTTACATAGGGATGTGGCTTGTTGTCTTCAGTAAAGAAAAACACACGGCTTTTACCTGATCATTGCACTTTTCCTCTGATAAATCACAAACAATTTATAAAGTATTAACTTCTTTTAAAACACAGTTATCTGGATACAAGCCGCGCCGTCGTCACATTCTCTCAATGTTTGTTTTGATGCAGATGTGACGTCATCGATCAACGTTATTGAAACCCTCTGACAAAAATAAATAATTCAACCTGATGATGAAAAATGAGAATGCTTTAATGATAACTCTAGATGCTTTCCTATATGATTTCTTTATTATTTCTATTCATTTTTAAGAGCTGAAATCGTTCGTGAACTAATTAACGAACGTTTTATCACCCAAGTGTGAAGAGTTGTCGTTCTTTGTACAAATATGCAAAAATACGATAAGAAAAAATAAAAATATGACAGTTCTCTTCAATTTTGAAAAAGTTTTAATACACATTTAAATACTTTGACCAAAATTAAGTTTTAAAGATATAAATTAGCAATTTTGAATTGTTCTGAATTTCTTTTTTTCCAAAAAGTATTATCAAAAAATTATATTTAT